TACATATATTTTTAGTAGAGCCCTCTCTCCTCTGCTTTTTCATAAATCCATTTGTCCTCTATATGATCTCATTTGAACATTCTGTTGAAATCTAAACCTGAGATGGATGAGTAGGTATTCAGCAAACCACTGTAAGGGTTTCCTATGTGCCTATCACTGTTCCAGTACCTTAATAAATATTAACTTGTTTAATTGTCATAAAACTCTATGCAATGAAAACTATTATTATTCCTATTTTGAAGGTAAAGAAACTGAGCTCCTGTCACTTACCCATAGTAACTCAGCTAAGATGTTGTAGAAAAGAGATTCCATCCTGGCATCCCCATTGACCGTATCACCCAACCTGAAACCTAGGATGTATCTTAAAAAACCCCTTCTCACCTCATCTCAAAATTGCTACTAGGTTCTAGTGATTTTTTTACCTCTTCAAAATTTCTCTAGTTGATTCTTTTTCTTTAACTCCAATGTCTTAATTCAATTCTCTACAATTTCTTTCCTGAAACACCTCAGTTGCCTTCTCGCTCTTCACTGTACCCCTTCCGATATACCCCCACACTACCAGGAGGGGTCTTTCTAAGACCTAAATCTAATCATGTCACTCTGCTGCTTAAAATGATTCCAGGGCTACCCACTGTTGTCATGATAAAATCCAAGTCCCCTAACCTAATGGAAGGCCAAGAAACTCATCAGCTACCACTATTTTATAAATTCTGCAATCCAGACATACCCATTGCCTATGATTTCCTGGAGGTATAATGCTCATCCACAAATATGTGCCTTTTCAGATCTCTCCTTTTATGTTTAAGTCCCCTCCAGGTTGGAAGAGGGGACTCTTCCAATTTTATTTTCACTTATCTCCACTATTTTATTGAGACATCTCTTGAAAGTGAGGGTCCGTACTTCTAATTCTATACACCCAACTTCTCCCATGCTACTTGGCACACAGGAAGCAATGAGCAGATGATGAAGGATAGCATGAACACACAAGTGACATACTTTAAGCTTACCTCAAGTGTTTTATCAGATTAATGACACAATCATGGAACAGAGTTTGGCATTCGTGATGCAGATGAAAAGCTTTGATCTTCAACTTCTAATTCTATAGTGTTCTATGATCCTACTCAGCTAAACGTCAATTAATACCTTTTGCCAGCACCAACTGAGTTAAAAGCAGGACCACCAAGAATTACAATTCCATAATGTTGGGACTTGGATCAAATGGCATCAAACAGCAGACATACCCTGGTAACGTTCTGTGCCAATGTCCACATGTACTGTTTGTTTACTAAGCAGTCTTATTATCTATTCATGTTGAGATTTCTTTAGAATGTGTAGAATTGGACAGATGGGTTGAAAGTCTTCCTTCAGGTATAATGTACATAGGATTGGGCAGATGGGTTCTAATAATCAACCTTTAGGCCTGAACACATAGACAAAACATGGGAAAAAATTACACCATTGCCTAGTAATGGATAAAAGAAGATTTGGGAATGGACACATTTTAAAGTAAGATACGAAATGTGTAAACCAAAACTGGAGAGTAGTACAGTGTCACTTCCCTTCAAAGGTGCAGATTTGCAGACAACTTTTTAGTATAGTAGCAAGTGGCCTCCTAAACCTAAAAATAACCTACAAAAATGACCAGTCTGAGCAATAGATGTCAATCTGAAATACCTTTTCTAATAACAAGAAGAAAGCAGAGAGTTGTTAAATACTTTGATTGGTTAACTGGATGAGGCTTTTACAGAATATTAAACAAAGGAGCCAACTATAGTAATCTGGGAGGAAAAAGTCATAATCCAGAAGTATGTCCTCATTGTCGAAAGATGGACTGAAATGATGAAACAGAAAGCTAAGTAAAAAAGTACTGCACTTCGATTCCCCTAAACCTCAAAGGAAAACAAAATAGAGTCCCTGCGCAAGTGTATAATGTGTGATGCACATGTGAGGCGCACCCATAAAAAGAGCAGGGATCAGCAGCGACAGTATGTTGGCAGGATCAACAGCATGTCATGCTGGGCGAAGAAGTCAGTTTACTCATTGGCTGTCACAGTAGAAGAATCCTATCTGTTACAGTAGTTGGAAGCTGACTGTGCTCAGAGCTTCCAATGACACCTTCACTTCCAAACTCTGCCCTCCTTTCCTCTGCTGGGTCCCCAGGGTGCTGCTGACCTGCATGCTCTACAACGGTGAGCTTTCTTTTACTCCCAATTCCAGCTGGGTTTGGCCAAATGGTAGCGTGAGCGGGAGACAAGGGCGGGAAGAGAGTGAAAGTAGGGTGCTTCACTCCCTGTCCTGAATAAGCCCCAGCCCTGCCCAAGGTCATGTCACTGTCTGGCAACCACCTCCACGCATCTCCCTCCATCTCTAATCCAGTAATGACTTATTTTTCTCACTCCTTTAAGGCAAAGGGTGGTAAGGATACTCTGCTATTACTAGTCCTGGGATAGGCCCCATGCCCTTTGGATTTTGTAAATGGTGCCCTAAATTGCCCAAATCCATATAACATCTATTTCCTGTAAGCACCCTGACAGATAAACTAACATTTATTAAACACCTATAAAATGCCAAGCCCTTAGTAGGAACTATTCATTTAATGGTTTCAACATCCCTCTATTGAAGGTTCTATTGTTACCATATACTTAATGGGTGAAGAAATGGATGTGTCCAGAGGCCGATTTGTCCAGAGATCAAATAGCAAGTAGGAGACCAAGCTGGATTTGATCCCAAGCCCTCTAACTTGGAGTCCATGCTGTTAACTGCTATACTCATTTCACTTGGCTCAGAATAAATCACTGCCCAACTGGGAATAGTTTTCCTCCAGATTGTTACTCTTAGAAGAATTAAACAAAGCAGAGGTGTGTGTACAGGCAATGTTTAAGAAATGTGAGGGGTTCTTATAACTGACAAATGTGGAGAAAGTGCAAATTTGTAAAAATCTTTCTGGAAAGCAATTTGACAGTAAGTATCAAGGACCTTAAAATACGTACTTATCCTTAGGCCCATTAATTCCACTAATACAAGTCTATCCTAAGGAAATAATCAGAGGTAGGAATGATGATTCAAGTGCTAAGATGTTTACTGCAGATAGTAACAAGGACAAAAAAATTTGAAATAACTTTGATGTGCAACATCAGAAAAATGGTTAACTAAATTAGTATACATGTATGTACATGTATATATTCACATGCTGGAATAGTAAATCTATTAAAATTGTGTCCTGGAAATAGAATGAGTAGGTGAAGTTCTCACATGGTCAACCGAGGACCCGAAGTATATGTGTGTATGTGTGCATGCGTGCATGTGTAGGGTAAAAATTACTTTAAGACAAGACTAAAAACATTAACTGTGATTATCTTCTTTTTTGTGATTATCTTTATATTGGAAATGAGTGATTATTTCATTTCTTTATAGCTTTCTATTTGCTTTCCTGGATTTTCCAATTTTGTACAATAGACTGAAAAAATAAAAATTGTTTTAAAACATCAATAATGATAAAAAATGATATGACCATAACTACATAACAATAATAACTATGACGAAAATAACTATAACTTAACTGTGGTTAGAGTAATAGGAATTGCATAACCTGAAAAAGAGAAGATTCAAGAAAATGTGAATGAAAGGCTATTAAATGGAAGGGACTTTGACACTTGTCCTGTATGAGTAAAATAAAAGAACCTGAACCAACAGAAATTACAGAAAAATGGAAGGGCTTTATAGAAAGAAAACAATTCTAACAGAATTTTTAAAATTGAGGATAGGTTGTCTTAAAAGTGTTTTGATTTTCTGTCACTGGAAGTTTTCAAGAAGAGGCTTGATCATAATTTTTCAGGAATGTTGTTATAGTGACTTAAGCTTTGAAAAAGTAGCTGAGCCTAGAAATCCCTCCAACCAGAGAGTCTAAAATTTGGATGCTACTGAACAACAATATCTAAATATTTCCTTGCTGTCAGAGATTTATTCCTTTGGGATAAGGTATTATTGTTTCTGGGAATTCTTTTTATCTCCTTTTTTTGGGGCAAAGTAGAATGACTAAGGTCAAAAGCAGTTCATTTGGGAGCAGAGTACATGTTTTTCATCATTGTATACTTACTGCCCAAGTACATTGTATAAATTGTATACAACAGTCCCGAGTACACAGTCTACCTATAGCAATTCATGTTTTCTCTTTTGGTAAGCCAATGTGCCAGACCTGATTAATACTCCACCCAGATCCAGTCCATCTTGCCTGCCCCTTGGCCTCAACAGCACGCCTCAACTCCCAGCTGGAGGAGCCTCATCTCCTAGCTCCCACTGAGTCTTGGCCCTGCCACTAAATGCCAGGGAGCCACAAAACAGAACAGAGAAAGACAAAGGAGTTAATGGGACCAGGTGAACTGCTTGCCTTCTCTCCAGCTTCCTCCCTTTACTGTCCCAAAATGGGGTGGTTCTGTCAAGCTTCTCTCAAGGCATCTCACATAGCCAAGTAAACAACCCTGTCTCTTGGAGCAGCTGTCACCTGGCTGTGCTTTCCCTCCTTCCCTTCTCTCTCACTTCACTGTGGTTATTTGCCCCAGTGCAGCATTGACATGTAATTAACAGGTCTGTCCCAGGGATCTGCTCTAAGGGAGAGATTGCAATTTTACTGGGAGTCAGTTGATCAAAGCATAACAGATCCATCCTCTGAGATCTTCTGGAAGACTGAACCACGGGTAAATTCTCCTACACAGAACCACAGGGAGAGTTGTTCTGTGGCCTGGGGGAGGCAAAAAGAGCCCTGTAATGAGCAGCAGCATAAGGAGCCCAGGGCCAGAAACAGGGCCTGATGGCAGCGGGTGGACCTGAGAGAATGACCAGAGTTGCTTGCAGAAGGAAGGCTTTACGAGTGAACTCTCTCCTTGCCTCAGTCCTTCCCCAAATCCATTAACTAACCTGCGGGCTGGTACCGTCATTTACCAAGGCCTTTCTCACAGACCACAGTTCCCATGAAGCTCCCCATCCTCATGCCCTTTACTCACCAGCTTTCAGCACCCCGCCTGCGATGACCATGCACGCCACACTCAGAACGTTGCTTCTGTCCACAGGGAATTCTAACGTCCCCATCACGTAGAGGCCTTTGAGGAATGGCAGGTCTGTATCCACAAGGACAGTCCTGTCTGCAGAAGAAAAAGAAACTCCTCAGACACGTAACCAAAACAAGAATTGCCTTCTGTCCTCCGGTGATTTACCCTGGGTTTTCCAAGCAATTCAGGAGCTGCTTACATGGCCCTCTATGTCAAGGGAGGGGTAGCAACCAGAATAAATAGTGTGTAAAAAGGCTAGGCTGTATAGTAAGGAAGCAGGGGAAAAAAGGCATAATTAATCAATTCTGCCATTGCTTAGCAAACGCGGTGCATGGCCAAAAGGCATAGCGCATGCCTCAAACGGCTCCCCAAGACCCACTCTAATGCAGACATATAGAGGAGTGCCCTACTCTTATCCCTGTCCCTTTGATTTGCTCTAGTTACAGAGAGACAGAAAATCATAGGTGTGACCTCGGCCTCTGAAGTCAGACTATTTGTAGATGAATCCCAGCTCTACTACTTGGTAGCTGTGTGGACACACAGTTTTATCTCTCTATGCCTCAGTTACATAATCTGTGAAATGGGTATAATAATAAAAATACCTCTTTCACTCATAGGGTTTTTGTGAGAGTTAAATGAATAAATATATCTAAACTGTCTATTCAGTACTACCAAGCCATTCTCATTTCCTCAATAAAGCATGGTGTCTGGTATGAGCTCATTAATGCTAGATCTTTTCATTATTTGTACCACAGCCCATTAGCTTGGCATGCTTTAGAGCTCATCTGACAACCTAAACCATTATTCTTCATTTCCTCTTTCATAAAAGCAGCCTCCACACAACTTCAGAAGGAAGTAACATGTAGATTTTATCTAAAAGTAACAATAGAGGAACACATGAATGAAGTTTCCCATTTGAAATAGTAAATATTGCCCCTATGCCAAAGCATTAAGTGTTATTTTCTGAGGCTTAGTAGTAATGCAGCACAAACTTAAAATATCAAATAAGTGTTTCTGCTTATATTTCAAGGACCATAATCACTGACACATGTAAACATTTTTAAGGAATTTTGTTAACATAATCTCATGTCTCGTTCTAGGAAACATGTTCCACTGTAGGAAACAATGTTCCCTGCCTTTCTTCAGGACCTGGCCTCCAAAGCTTCTCAGGAGTTGTCTTTTCTAGACCTTGCTTACTTCTCTAGTTATAAGACCATCACACCTTGTTGTAAATAATTTCTTTTTTCCTCCTGGGCTCATAGTTAGACTACCATTCCCAGCTGCGTTTGAGTTAGAGGAAGCCATGTGACTGAGATGTAGTCAGTCAAACATAGGCAGAATTGAGGTGTGACATCTCTAGGCCTGCTCCACGGATTCTCCTGCATGAACTCTCTCCTTTCTCTTGCCTCTCAGTTGGACAGTAGAGCAGCGGTTCTCAAGATACGGTCTTGGTCCAACACCCTTAGCACCCACTCACCCAACAGAATTAACCCAAGTTTTAGCTTTGCTAGGAAGCCATTCCCTAGTCCCTCACTGGGTCCTCTGCTGCCCCTGTGGGCATTTCTTTCTCTTTTGCTCTCCAATGATACCCCATACTTTCTTATAAAAGAGCACCGAAATACATTATTATAATTAAATACATAACTATTGTACGTAAGGAAGTAACTGTCATTTGGCTGGTCCTCGGAGTAACTGTGTGTTTCTCTCTCCTTTTTACTTGCTTTGAAAAGAAACCATCCATTTTTTAAAATCCTGGATTTTGTGACATCACAAAATATTGTGACATGAAAGATACAGATGTTGAATAAATGCTGCTCGGATTTGTTGAGTTTAGTCCCCTACACAGCTTAAATTCAAGAGTGACTGATACAAAAGGAATCATCAGGCTAAACAGACAAAAATAAATATATATGTCAATTCCATATCTGGTACTTTTACAACATTCAAACAAAAGAGTGAAATATCCAGTGAGTGTTCTAGATTTAACATAACATTTTATGGGTTCATGACTTTAATTTGACTTCAAAAGCAAGATAAAAATTATTTTAAGTAAGTATCTTTAAAAACAAGAGTTACAGACAAATGGCCTTTACTTCTTCCAACTTATGGCCCATTCTGTGAATATTCGGTTGTTGAGCCTGATCGTACAAAACAGTTAAATTGATTCAGTAAATGCTTTCTCTCACCCACAGAGTACTCACACACAGACACAAAACATGATACCAGGCCTCTTTTGAACATACCTCTCAGTTAAAATATGGCAAGTACACAGAATTTAAAATTTTCCCTTCAATCTTTATCCCATACCCTTTAGAAGATTTGTTTGCTTTTAATTACCCTATTCACTGCAGATATACCAACAAATTTCCCACAAATCACAGTCTATTATAAGCTCCATGAGAAAAGAGACCAGAGCTACAATTCTCACTTTAATTTGTTTAGTATCGTGATAATACTTAGTATATAATAGGTACTCAAGAATAACACTGGAGAATGTCTGTACACAAATACACACACACATATCCCTTATATAAAATCTAGTAGCTAGCAAATGAAAAGTATAGGATAAAGACAAGAATAGAAACATTGCTCTTATTTCTTTCAGTCCACCTTTCACTTTGAAATTTCCTGGATCCATCTATTTACCTTTTCTTCATCCTTTCCTTCCCTGTGATGTGCCAAATGTTGCTGGGTGGTGAGAATTCAAAGATGAGTAAGATATATTTCCCATCATCGGATGAACACAGATAAACAAATAAGTACAATAGAATATACTTGAAACAAAAATACACTTTTTCATTATATGAAGGTTGATCCCATCTTCATTCCCACCTACTTCAAAATGGAAAGGCCATCAGTGTCCCTATTATAACAAAATTCTGCTAAGATGAAGTAAACATATGCTGTATAAAGATTTCTATTAAGGAATTCTCCCTGTATCCCAATATCAGAGAGCACAGCCATCATTGCAAGTGACACAGGCAAAAGAGATCACCCAAAGCAGATAGGCTGCAGGTCCAAACTGACCACCCTCAGCCGTGACGACAACTTGTAGAGGAGTTCTCTCTGTTGGAGGTGTGAAAACTTAGGATCAATATGCCACATTCTCTAGAAGTAACATCATTTCCATGAAATAACTTAAGATATTTCAGAAAAATCACTCAGAAACAGTTCCTTATGCAATGCACTTAAAAACAAGAATGATGGGCCACCTCTCATTTAACTGTGGCCCAATGCTTTTACCTTGCCTGACTTGGCTGAGGCCATGATTCCATCCTACTCTGTCAGTGACCAATCTATCCTACTTGAGAGAATGAGCATTGGCATATGGAGGGAACCATCTGGAATTTCTGCTGCTCAATGGGAGGCTGATGTGGGAACAGATCTGGAAAGAGACTCCAAAAAGAATTAATGAGTACCAGATGTAATTAAAGACTGCTTTCCCCCAAAGGAGCTCTGGACCAGCAATGGGGTGGCGCCTCTTCATCCCGAATTACACCCTCTCTTCTCTTGTTCATCCATCAAGCACTAAACATTCCACCATCTTTATTCTAGTATCTTTTGTCAAGCAGACTTTTTGTTTCTTTCCTGAAAGGGTTGTATTTTGACAATTCAAAGAACTAAAGCTTTAGAAATAATATCTGAAAAGTCAACACTAAAGAGGAACCTCCTAACATTCCCATGCACCAAATGCAGCAAACACAAGGAGCTGTTGTCTTCTGTAAATTCATCAGCTACCCGCAGGACCAGACAGCCTGAGCCAAATCAAAAGGCAGATGTCTCCAACAGAGGGTTAGGGATGCTTTTCCTTTGTATGGGGAATAATCTGATTACCAGTGATAAAGCATTCCGTATAATTTCAACACTCAATTTAAATTCAATTGTTTTTCCCAGCAGTCAGGAATCACGGTCACTATTGTGTCACAATCCATGGATCTGGCACCTGTCTAAATCCTGTAGAAATGAGATCAAGGGTGAAGGGCACAAACCCTGGGAATAAGGATGGGGTCACATGAATAGGCATAATTTAGGACAGACAGACATATTGCCTGTGTAGTATTCATTGTATCAGGCCCCACAACTTAGGTGGTGAAGACAGTTTTCACTACAACCCTTCTCTTTTAGGAACACTTGGATACAGCTCAGACTTCTGAGGGAGAGTGATGGTGTGCAATGGGTAGAACAGGACATACAAGGACTCTTTGTACGCTTGTTATTTTCCTGTACCTTCCATAATTAATGGGTTTGTTTCTACATTCATTCTTGGCCCCAATACTTTTCATAAACATGTGAACCGATTGAAAAGTAAATTTTAATGCCACTTGAACCACTACTGAATTATCACACTTGAATGAGCCAATCTTCCTCTTTAATAAGAGGGTATTTTAAGCTCTGAAGTGATTTCTTTAAATACAGGTATATTTACTTGATGGTTGGTAGTGTTTTCTCTCCTTTGTAGGCTTGCTTAACTTCTGGTGAATCTAACAATTTATCCAAATATTGTATCATAATTTATGAGGACCTCCAGTAGATCCAAAAAATCACTCCTAAAATAGAAGTCCTCATATACAGAAATAGTTCACAAGGATGAAAGGTTAACATGACAGACAATTAGCATCAAGGAGACTAATTTACAGAGATGATGGTATTCATTTATCAAGAACGCATTCTCTTGTAGAGAAAGCAGAAAAAAGAAGTTCTAGAAGATAAGGATGCTTTCTTTCTATAATTAAATTCCTTTCAAAGAGCCACTCACATATAGCCTTGCTTTTTTCTAAATCAGATCCTCAGAGGTGGTTGCTTTACTCTTCCTGGCTATTATTTAAAAAAAAAAAAAACAGGTCTTAAAAATAGGCGGAAGAGGCAGTTTTCAAAGTGCCCAGAGGCATTTGAGTCAAGACTGAAAGCGGGCACCTGCCTGCCTGGTGTGTGTGAGTACTGCGGGCAGCTCCCCCGGGAAGAGTCCAGCTTAAGTTCTGGATAATAAAATTCCATCCCTCCCCCCACATACACTCTCTCGGTGTCTTCCGCAATCACATACAGACACACATAATCCCCATAGCAGAATCAACATTTTAAATTATGATATTTTA